ATGAAAGGAAGAAACTGGGAAGATTTTTGTGTTGAAAACAGGAAAATGAACCAAACTGATGGAATCGACCAGCGAGGATTTAACTGCTCAGAGGTGAGGAAGATGGTGATGATGAAGAGGAGAGCAGGCCTTTGTTTGCAGCACACAGTGCTGCCTTGTTGCCCTGATGCGTCCATGAGACTCACTGCTGCAGCTTCATTCAGTCCTGCAACAACCCGACTGCAGCGTGGCAAGAAAACCCAGAAACGGACGATTTAAACGTCTAAAAAACACTAAACTGCAACGTTTCAAACTCGTCTGCAGGATCAGACGGGTGACAACAAGACGAATGTGCCTCAGAATAAAACACACCCCAAAGTATCCTCCACTGACAGCTGATTGCTGCGTTGCTGCTGCAGCCATTAAAGCCTGAAAGCTTTCCTCCGTTTCCGGCTTCCATTCAGACTCCAGCGGATGATGTCACGGCTCAGATCACTGCTTAGCAACACACACATCAGCTGTATGCGTGTGAGTGTGAGTGTGTGTGTGTGTGTGAGTGTAAGTGTGTGTGTGTGTGTGTGTGAGTGTGTGTGCGTGCGTGTGTGTGTGTGTGTGTGTGTGTGTGAGTGTGAGTGTGTGTGCGTGCGTGTGTGTGTGTGTGTGTGATTTACTGATTCTGCTGCTGAAAATCCTCCTGATTCTCTGGAATATTTTGTTTGAGTGAAGCAGTTCCTGATTGGTTGGATGCTTCTGCAAAATGTTATTTTTTCTCAAAAGACGATAAAAACATCAGAAATATAATTTTACATCAACAAGATGATTTTCACAGACCTATCAGCTGAAAAGTTGTGATATTTCAGAATTTTTTCACCTTTTTTATAGTGAATTATTCAAAACATTTCCTGAAAATGATTTTGTTTTGGCTGGACGGAGACACAAACTGGACTTTATTCTGACTGAGAGGATGTGAAAAGTTTCTGCACTCGGTCCAGAATCGATCAGTAACCTGTTAAATATCGGATTTTCCTTCTTGTTCCCTGAATGCATCAGAACTCCCAGGTTCCTCCTGGTCAGTAAACGCATCATTAAACAGCTTCCACTTAAAGCAGGGGAGCAAAAACTTTTAGTTTTAGGCAATAATGTGCAGAAATATTCACACCCCATAAACCTTTTCACATTTTCTCTCATTTTGGTGGAAGTTCATTTCCACCATGAAAGAAAAGATAAAACCCCAACAAAAAGTCACCATTTTGAGATTTAAAGCCATAATTAGAGACATTATGAGATGATTTAGACCACAGCAGATTAATAGGTTAGAATGACCTAGTCAAAGTCCAGACCTGAGCGGATGTTCTGCTTCAAAGTTTTGTTAATTTACTGTAACAAACACTTAAACTATTCATCGCTCTGAAGTCTGGTGGGAAGACTATTCGTGTTGCACGACAATGCTAACGACAATGCTAACGCCTGTGGTGATGACACATATGCTAAGCTAAGTGCTATTTTTAGCTGTGGAAGGAGAGGTAGAGTTACAAAGTGAAGCTTGCAAAAATGACAGAAACTATCAAAGTGTTAGCATGTTAAGCTCAGCTGGAACAGCAGCTCCGCAGAGTTAGCTTCTGTGAAACTAGTGTGAAATAAAGCAACAGATTTGAGATTAAACTTTTTATTTGTTGCTTTTATCTTAATTTAAATTAATTATGTAGAGTTTATATATCAAGTTTTAAGTATTTCTTGTAGTTGGTTGGGTTTAATCAGAGTTGCAACATTTTAAACAATAAAATCTAAAAACAGAATTAATTTACTTAAATTTTCTTGTTTGTATATATTTTTAAGTCCTAAAAAGAGTTTGTACTTTAGCAGAACCTGACTTTATTATTTCGTCCAATTAGTCGATCACTAAAATCATCGACAGCAGCGCTTTGCTAAACTACTACAATAAACTGAACGTTCTGGTTCTGGAGAGCTGCAGGTTCTTCTGGGCTTCTACTTCAACACCCCAAATCTCCCAATCCAGGGAGGATTAATCATCCATTGCTTAATAATCCAGGCTTTATCTTTTCTTTAGCAGCTTCAACGTCAGAAATGAGTCACTTTAACCTGATCATAGATCAGAAAGCCAAAGCTAGAACTGGACCCAGGCCCGGACAGGCCCAGATTCCCTGGTTTTAACCCAGATGCCTCCACAGGCTGGTTTGGATTAAATGGTCCCTAATCTCAAGTCCGGCCAATGTCTCCAAAGACCTGGCAGCAACGACTTCATGGGACCAGAAGTTGAGTTAATATCAGTGTTCACTGCAGTTTGAAGAGAATCTGCAGGCCCGGTCCTGGCCCGGTTCTGGCCCGGTCCTGGCCCGGTTCTGGCCCGGTCCTGGCCCGGTTCTGGCCCGGTCCTGGCCCGCATCTTCCCCGGGAACTGATCGGTCCTGCGGGAAGCAGCGACAACTCCGGCGGACAAAGATGGGTTTATAAGGACAGATCATTCCTCTGTCGCAGGGAACAGACATGACGTCAGCCTCTACCCACCCGTTACTGGCACGCGACGCGCACGCACGAGAGGGCGGCAGACTGCGTGGGAACGCGCCCTGTTTTCTTTCAACCCACCCGAGTTCGGGCTGTTTTTAACCATCCGCGGGTTCGGATTGACACGAACAATCACGTCACAAATGAATAAAGGTTTCATGTTTAATTGTTGCGGAATGATGACGGAGGGGAGCGTCCGCGACCCCGCTGTTAGCGACACGCAGGGAGACATTCTTATTTTGACAGTGTAAATGTTTCAAGTCAAAGTCAGACGGACACCCGACACGGATCGTTTCCCTCCTCACAGCTGCCCCAAAACCTCCCAAACACAAACTACACATCTGGACAAAGCAGAGCTCTGCTGGTACATCGGGAAAAGGTTCGGACTCCGGTCCGGTCTCACCGTAGGCGGGTCCCAGCTCGATGATGTCCGCCATTTTGTGGTTCAGAGGAGGTTTGGATCCTGGCCGAAAGAAGCGCAGAGATGGAGGGGGAACCGACTCGCTGCCGCCGCTGTTACTTCACATCCATAAAGGAGGGAAACCAGCGGGGAGGAATCACCGAAAACACGCCTCTGACCCGGGGAGGAAGCCTTCAGGTGCCCGCTGACGGAGCCGCGCTCGGTGCGTCTCGCTGGGTCGGTCAGTCTGATTCACTGCGCAGGGATGCTGGGGATGCAGGGAGGCTGCACGAAGATCGTCTGTGCGGGGTAATGACTCACTGCGTGGAGAACGACACGGTTGTTTTTCTAAAATGAAGTTAGAATAAAAATGTTTTTTTTAAATATAGGTTTTAGTTAAATGATTAAGCTTATAGTATATAATATTAAATTAAGAATTCTGAATTAATGAGTTACAACATTTAATTTCCCTTTGGAATAAAGTATTTTTGAATCGAATTATCCAACAATTAGTGTTTGTGTCGATTGATATATTTTTATTCATGAATGTGTTTTAGTGATGACATATACCGAAACACTAATATTAATTTATTTTAAAACAATCGGTAAGTTAATAGAAAAGACAATGTACAAAATTATGTTTCTGTTTTCTGCTTTTTTCCTGGATAAACTTGACATTATATAGGTTATTAGGTCATTTCTTGTTAAACAATTGGGCTGTTGCTTTCTTCCTTAAAGCCAGGATCGATCTGCATAGTTTCCCCTCCTTCATAAATTAAGCCATCAATTGAAAACAGTTTTTGTATTCTTGAACCAATATTTATATTTATTTGATCGTCTGAAATATAAAGGGAAACATCACTCTTTCACAGGTTTGTATGAAGAGTGATTCTATCATTATTTCTTTGATAATGCAGCTCCAATCAATTTGTAGATTATTGATTTATGACATTTATGAGACGTGTTTGATGTAAAACCTTCTCTTCTTACTTATATTTGTAAAAAGCTATTTTTATTTTGTAAAACCCTTTTTATGGATAATGTTTATGTTGGTGATCGGTGTCTGTGGTCTTCAGAAATGTGGTTGTAGTGAGACATCCCGAGATCCTCCTTGAAATGGTCCTCCAGGAGGAGGAGACTCCGCCCCCTAGTGGCCTCACGGATGTTAGATAATGACCAGGACTTCCTGTTATTTGTCCATGAACGGGATTTCACTGCTGCAGAAATGTTCCTGGTCCTTTATTAAAAAATAAAAACAATAATAAATAAACAAACTCACTTTAATTTACTGAAATATGCTACAAAAGACTGAAATAATCCAAATTTAGAGTCTGAAATCAACCAAAAAAAAAAAAAAACATCTAAGCTTTTATTGCTTTAATGTTCAGAGTGTTTAAGGAGGCAAAATAAACCTAAAAGGTACCAAATATCTGCTAACATGAAAACATCAGACATGCAAGAGTGAAAAAATATATTTTACACCAATTCAAAACATAAATGTTTCTGATTCATCTCCTGTTGCAGGTTTTTATGAGTTTTGATGTTTGAGTAAAACTAGAACAATCATACCTTTATAGATGTTTCTCTTCTTTGGATCAAACATTTATCTGCAGCGAACATGCAGCAAATTCATGAAGGATGCAAACTCAAAAATACCAATGCAAACAAAAAATGCTACAAAAAAGACACAAAAAAAAACAACAACAAATTACAAAATTATCAAACGTTGCAAAACCTCCAGACCACCAGGGGGAGTCACTGTCTGGAATATTATCTTTGTAAATATTCTGCTGTTGTATGATAAACAACATGAAGTACAGTTGATCTTTTATTTCTTCATTTCATCTGCGAATCCTGTTTTTACTGAGTCACTAGTGGTTGGCTCCCCTAGTGGCTTTTATTTGTTTATTAGTGTTTGGTGTTTGTGTGTTTTGGAGTTTGAGTCATTCATGTTTTGCTGCAGTTTTCTACTTGTCAACCATCATATTTATCAGCTGTATTTTCTCTTCAAATACATTTAAAACAGTCAGAAGTGGTATCACTGTCTCATCAGTTTCTAACAGTGTTCAGTGAGTTGGGCGGGAGTTCAGGTTTCACATCATATTTTCTTGTTTCCGTCCGAGCTGCCGGTCTTCTGGTAGAGGTAAAGGCTCCGGGTCACATACACCGGGCCCTCGTCCCGCCTGCTGGCCTCCACCTGAGGGTTCAGCATGTAGCGCGCCACCTGCTGGACGACGACTCGACTCCACAGCCCGTCATCCTCCAGCAGCTGCAGCTCTCGCTGCAGTTGTGTCCCAACGTCTTCCTCTGCTGGACTCGTGTGGTTGCCTCTCGCCAAGCAGATTAAACCTCCTGTTTTTGGGTTTCCAGCGTTCATGCTGGTGCTAAATGATGTCAGTACCTGGTTTGGCTGCATCGCAGAGCTCCCTGATGACGCTGAACGGAGCGAAACCAACGCCGAGGCCCCCGACCAGAATCACCAGATCAAACGTGCCTGGAACCAGCAAAGAGGACGAGTCTGTGAAACCTGAGCCCTGCTGGGTGTGTGTGAAGCAGGAAGGAGCTCAGCAGTCACCAGTCTGGGCAGGAAGTGGTTCTGTTCCCAGCAGGGCCGGTTGGAGCTCTCCGTAGAGTTTGGTCTTTGCAGCTTCTGCCAGCATTTGTTCGCTGCAGTCCACTCCAACAAAGTTCCTGAATCCCAACTGAAACATCTGAAACGAGTCATTAAAGTTTGACATCATAAAACTGAGATCAGGAAATAGAAATCATCCAAACGGTTTCAATGCAACGTTCTTCTTCCGGGTGGAAAATCTGTTTTTTACAGTGCAGGATAAAATCAAAGGAAGATGAGTTTCCTTGACCTTTAACCTCCAGATGATGGTCGGTTTGAGTTATCCAGGTGCAAAGTCACTGCAGCAGGATGGACAGCTCTCCGTCGGTTTTACCTTGAGGAGCTTTAGGCGGATTCTTCCTCGTCTCCGTTTGTCTGCAGAGCAAACCGTCAGTGACGAAAGGTGCAGATGTTGGAGGATAAGCTGTAACTCACCTGAGTTCCTGATTGACTGATCGGACTGGTTCAGGTGGTTCTGGCTCTGTTTCTACACACTGCAGGGTTTTCAACAAAAAAATCTTCAGGTCCCGACTCAGTCTGATTGGATTCCTTTGACTTTCTGAAACAATTTCCCACATGGCGGCATTTCCTGCTGAGGAGCAGGAAATGGATCCAACTCAAAGTTCCTGCTTGGCTCAGGAGATCGTCCAAAACCCATCAGGTTTATGAAAACACCACAAACTGTCGGCCCTGGAGTCCAGTTTGGTCTGAGTTCTGGTTCTCAGGACGTGTTCATGTGTTTGGTTTCTGTTCCTCTCCTGTTTCTGCTGGACTGGAGGTGGGAAACGCTCCAACAGCAGCAGGTTCTGACCCGGCTGGCGCTCTCACAGCCAGCATTCAGTCCACGTTTCAAGCCGTTGTCCTCTCTCCAAGCGTCATGAGTCGGAGGAGGTGATGCGACGCTGACTGCTGCAGAGAAGGGTCGACCTTTTTACATTTATTATATCTTTAAGATTAACTTTTTGCTCCTTTTGTTTTATTGATTCAATAATTATTTTAAAAATCTGTGATTTTATTGAAAGCAAGAAAAAAGTCCGATTGTATTTTAAGACTGTAGATGCAGAACAAAGTCAACGGTTCGGATCCGTCCCAGCCTCAGGCCTGCACACAAATTCAGAAACACAATCATTTTAGCAACATCGAGCAGCTCATCACTTCCTGAACGTCATTTACTGACAACAATCAGCTCAAAAAATGATTTTCTATCATGTTTTCAGAAAAGCTGAACTGCAGGCGGTTTGGGTGATTTAATTCAATTTAATTTAAAATGCAGAGAGAAAAAAATACAGCAGGAAGTCAGAGAGCATGAACAGGAAGTTCAACTCTTCATTGCTCACTACTGCCACCTGCTGTTGCATTTCAGCCACATCACTGAAATAAATCATAATGTTACATCACAGAGCCCATAATGAGTCTCTGCAATGTTATCACAACACAGACCATGTCGTCTATTTATAGTTCTTAAATGATTCATATTTCCTCTACATATAATCTTGTTTTTTGAGCAGAAACCAGCCAGTATGGCAGGCAGTTTTACCATAAAATGAGTTTCTTCTGCCTGACTGTGTTTACGTTCCGGTTTTGATTTGACAGAAACATTTTGACTATTGTGAATGTTAATTTAAGATAATTAGAGATATCTTTATAAACTAGCATGTCCAGTCAATGAATTGTGTGGCAAAATGCAGCATAATTTAAATGTTTCTGTCATTTAAACGTTCACATGTTTAATTAGCATTACTAAAGATAATTACATTATTTTAACAACAAGAGGTTGTGATGTAAGGTGGGCTGATCTAAGATCAATAATCAATCTGCTTGATCAGGTAAAATCAATTCATACTGGTTAATTTTACTGCAACTGAAAACATTTTAATAGAAAGTCTGAGTTTAAAGAGAATTCTATGTAAATATACAGAATATAAATCTCGTTTCCTGTTCTGCTTTTTCATGAATATTTAGCTTAAAAAAGACAAAAAGTTTATAATTGTCTTCCTGTTTTAAATCAGTGTTACTTCTGTCATCAGGATTATATCAAACTTCTGCTTTTCATCGGTTCCTGGCGTTCACTTTTAACCTGCTTGGTTAATATTTATTTTATTGTTGTCATTAAATACACACTGCAGTTCTGATTGTTGGAAAAAAAACGATGGCTCCACTTTCTGCTGCTGGATAAAAACCAGGAAGCTCAGATCCACGTTTCCACTTCCTGCCTTGTTTCTTCACATAACGCAGGAACTCATCTCACCTGAGAGCTTCTGACAGCCGAGCTGCAGTCGGCCCAGTTCTCCACGCAGGGAGGAGTTACTGGAATAACAAATAAAGCAGGAAGTGAGAGAGAGAAAACAGGAAGTTCATCGTCGCTGATCAGTTTTCTGACAGAACGATGAAGAGTCTGGAAGCTCAGGATGGAGCCTGGAGGTGAAAAGGTTTTCTGGAGCTTCATGTTCCTGCTGGCAGGTGAGAAGTTTGATCTTCATCAGGAGGAAAAACCCTGGAAGCAGGAAATTAAATCTCTGTAAATCATTTCTGAAGTTTAATTGACAGCAGAGTTTTCCTCCTTCATCTCTGAGTTCGGACAGAAAGATGAAAGTTTGCAGGTTGATGGAAACTTGTGTTTGTAATTTCTTTGCTTTTCCTGCTGATTCCAAATAATGAGTCACATTATTATTTAAAGCATTCACTTTGTGTTAAAAAATCAGAACGACCTGATTAAATGAAGCATCATTTTATAACATCTCAATATTTTGCTGTGAAATAAAAAAAAAACAATTAACTTTAATATGATTAAAATTTGATGATAATTTCATTTTGCATGACGCACCAGGAACATGTTTGATGCATTATTCTGAAAGTTAGTATTTGTAGATCAACTCACTGATGTCAGTTATTAATTTAACGTCCGACTTCCTGCCAGCTGTTTGCCTGGAAAAGTTCAAATCTGATTTTTACATTGAAAAAGTGAAATAGCTGAAACACAAAAACAAATTATTAAAAATATAAACTCAAAACGCAACAGAATCCAAGTCCCTGAAAGTTTTTTTCTTTCTGACTGGCTCCTTTAAAGCACAGAGTGAGTAACAACAAGGCAGCCGGCCACTTCTTCACCTTTCAGTATTTCAGTATTTCCAGTTCGGTGCAGAGGAGTTGCTCCAGTGTAGATTTATTGCAACATGAACCATCAAACATCTCGTTAAAATGAGGTAAACAACCAAAACATTTTCAGTAAAATAAAGATCACATCATGTTTTCCAGGAAGTGGCTCCATCACGACTCAGATTTCATAGATATGAGGACATAAGTTGCAGATTCTTTACAACAGAAGAAGATCCTTTTCTGAAATGTCAAACGTTGGTGCACAGACGGTTAGAGGAGCGTTTCCCAGCCCGGCCCTCACGGCTCCTGTTCAACTGACTGCAGTTTAACAAACGCCTGTTAATCAGATGGACTGATCAGATTTAAGACCATTACAGGTGAGCCTGGAGGGCCGGAAAACACTGGTTACAGAAATATTGCTCTGTTCTCTGCGGGTTTATTCACACTTTCTACTGAAAGCGTTCTAAAGACGCAGCGATCCGTTTCAGATCCGGTTCATAATCCTGATGATGTTCCCTGAATGAGTCTGGCGGCAGCTCACTGTGGCTGCTGCATCTTTCTTTGACTGTAACACCATTATAGGGCGTTGAGTCATAAAAATATTCCAATTATGCAGCTTTATGCTACGTTGCTCCAACACCACAATTTGTCAACTTGGTTGATCAGTTTTTCACCAGTTTCATCATCCTGTTGGTTTTTGGCTGTTTGCATTTTTCTCTTCTTCCATCTGGTTGAGACTTTTTAACTTTTACATCAGAGTCTGGAAATAAATCAAGCTGCCAGTGGAGGCGTTTTGTGACGTTAGCATGTTCCTGGTTTGAGTTGATGGAGCCGATAACAAGAAGAAGAATTTACTCAGTTTCTAACTCGCAGCACAATATCAGGGCTCACACGTTGGGGGTGCCCCCTAGTGGTCACAGTGACTACAACAAGTACAGCTGAAGCAGACGCAGGCGGCCCAATGGACAGCGGCGGCGTTAGATAATCATCTGAAACTCTCTGTTTCCCCAGGAGCCGCGGCCCAAACGACCCGGTACCACTTTGGATCCATTTGTGCAGTGAAAGGATCGACTGCCGTCCTGCCCTGTTCCTTCACTCCTAGGAAAGATTTCCCTCATGGAGGAAGACGGATTCCTCTGAGGATCGTCAGAGTTCTCTGGTGTAAGAACCATGAGATCTGTCAGGGAACGACTCCGTCTGTTTACGACAGCAACTCAACAGCCACAGAGTCTCGATTTCATTACCTGGGCAACATGGAGGCAAATTGCACTCTGCAGATCAGAGACATTCAGATGGACGACAAGGGAACCTTTAGATTCAGGATGGAAGCAAATAATTCTGAGGGACATTTTACAAACCAGACTGGAGTCAAAATCTCAGTGGTTGGTAAGATCAACACGTCACATTCAGACAATAATCACAGATATTAATGCAAACTAATGACAACGTTTCACTTAGATTCGATCAGAATGCAGATAAAGAGCTCCAGCAACAAATCAGAGGTCAGCAGAGGTCAAACTGTCTCCCTGCAGTGCATCACTTCTACCTGCACCTTCAAACACCTGGAGGTCACCTGGAGGAAAGATGGCCACGCCCTCCCAGGGAACGGCTCGGCCCTCCAGCTCGGCCCTCTGAGCGCAAAGGATTCTGGGAACTACAGCTGTGCTCTGAGGAGGAACATGGAGACCCAATCAGAGCCGTTCAGCCTGCAGGTGGAGGAAGAGGAGGAGGTGGAGGAGGAAGGTCGGTTCTGGTTGGTTCTGGTTGGTTCTGGAGACGTTTTCATCAACACAGCAGCATCTAAAAACCTAGAAGATCTTTAAGAAGTTTAATGTTTTCTGAGTAAAATATTTCAAACAAAGAAAACTTAGTGGAAGGAAAAAGTGTCATACGTCATGGTGTCCTGGCATCCAGGATAAGCTCCGATTTGACAGGATTGTCATTCAAATCTTTGAAAAAATGTGTGCGATCTTCTCATGAAGCATCGCGACCGGGCCTTCCTGGATCTGGGTTTTCATTCTTTGTTAACCAGAATAAAAACTTTACATGTTTTATTCAAGTTATAATAAGGTGACTTCCTGCAATAAAGCTACATAGCTGATGCAGGTAATGACCCAGAGGGGAAACATGTGGCAAAGCAGGCCAGGAATCAAACCTGCGACAGCCTTATTTGGGTTGTGCTTGACGCCACAGAACCACAACACATTTTTATAGCTAAACTCTTGATGTTTTCTATAAATAAAATCCTCTATAAACAGTTTAAATCATTGAGATTGAATAGAATCTGAATGGTGCATCCAGCTGCAGAGTAAGCCTGATGGAGAGAAGCTTTCTGTTTTCCAGAGTCTAACCTTCCTCTGGCTGCTGCTGGGACGTTTGGAGTCCTGCTGGTGGTCACCACCCTCATCATCATCTTCATCATCAAAAGGTACCGCAGCAGTGCTAATGTGCTAATAGAGTAGCTAACGGGTTGCTAACTTTGAAAACGTTTTCTGCACTTAGCTTCCTATTTTTCCTGATCAATTCTAAAGCGATCAGGTTGACATAAGTAGATGTTTATATTCACGCTCTTATTTTGAAGTTGGTTTACTCTGTTTCTGCTCCAACAACTTTATTTCAAACAAGAAACATTCAGGAATAAATAAAATAGACAGAAAAAAACAAGATAAAAATATAAATTCAATATCTAAAAGGGATTAAAGAACATTTAAATAATAATGTAAACATTTCTTCTTGAGAGTTGTCAATTTAAATTTATTCTTTAGCATTAGCCATTAGCTTCATCTAAATACCATGTTGGTGTTTTAGGTTTAGCACAGTTAGTATTTTAATTAGCAGTGGGCAAAACGGACCAGTGGATTCATCCATCATATTGTTGCCAATAAGATCTCAGCAAATATTTCTCCGGTCTCAGTTGATTTCAGTTCATTTCTTTGATGATTAACGAGCTTTGATTGTCTGAGTGATTCCAGAACCTTGAAGACAAACAGGAAGCTGAGTAATTAAACTTTATTTAGAAATAAATCAGTTTATTAAACCACCACCTTCTGTGATGTCATCAGAGTGGAGTTAAAAATGTTTCCACCAAAATCCAAACATCAATGAGGTGAATTTTTATTTGATGAGTTCTCTCTGTGTTTCAGGAAGCGAACAGCAGCAGGAAGTCCAAACGTCATGAGAGGAGACATAGAGATGAAGGTGACTTCCTGTTTGTCATCCATTCTGTGGCGATGTTAGCATATTCATGTCTTATTTTATTTATTTATTAGCCATTATTTATGGGTTGCGGGACAGGTCAGAGGTCAGGAAGAGACGAGGAAGTAAAGGCAACCCAACCTGTTTCTATTTGAGACTTTAATTAATAATTAAATTATTAGATTAAGTAATTTTTTTTAATCAGCAAAATGCCAGTGGAAACATGGATTCCAAGGCAAGATAGTCTACAGTGACTCAACCTTCAGCTCTGGCTGCAGCACTCAATTTTACAATGATAGTTTATTAAACCTTTTCTTAAATTTAGTTACTATATTATCAGTAACTAAATGTAACTAAGTACCTCATTACTGAGGTTCTTTGTAATTAATTCAAAAGCTAAATTAATAAAGCTGCTGCCTGGCAAACCTGCATCCAGAGTCTGCAAAGCAGTGACTTTATTCACAGTAAATTAAACTGTATGAAAAGACGTTAGCCTGGAGCTGTTAGCATGCTGAAGGGCCAGCCACAAGCTAGCTTGCTAGCATAGCTTGCTAGCATTTAGTTTACTTCCTTAGCACTAGTTTATATTGTGTTAATACTTGGACAATTTCACCGATTAAGACTGATAGTTAATTAATGAGAACATGCAGCTAAATGTGTGAATGTCGGTGTTTTGCTGACTCTGCTGGAATAACCAGAAGCCATGTTGTAAATCAAGAATCAGTCATTTGTGCATCACAATTACAGAGTCTCATTCTGAACATTGACTTTTTAAATGTTAGCGCTGCATTTAACGCTTATTTCAGTCATAAATTAATCTTTCAATTATTCTGGAGATTAACTGATTTATCAGATTTGTTTAAAATGGCACATTCTACATATTTTTTATTTAACTACTTAAACCTTTTCGCAATATATTTAAATTACATTCAAAGATACAAAATAGAAATAGTTTGCTTGGCAAAAATGAAATAATCAAAAGTTATTGAAGGTTGAAGATCATCAAGTCAATTGGAAATGTTGAAGCAATAAAGTAACGGGATGATAAACAGTCATAAGTTTGTTCCTGCAGCTGTAGCAGTCTGTTCCTCAGTGTTCACTTCTCTCTGCGCTCCTCAGACTGATCACATCTACAGCAGCATCCTGCCGCCGCTTCAGCAGGAAACAGGAAGTCAGAAACAGGAAGTAGGGGCTGAGGAGCTCAGCTATGCTTCGGTCCAGTTCAAACACAGCAAACTGGAAAGGTAGGACATGAAGACATGAACGACTGACTGACTGAACGACCAACAGACTGAACGACCGACTGACTGAACGACCGACTGACTGACTGACTGACTGACTGAACGACCAACTGACTGACTGACTGACTGACTGAACGACCGACTGACTGAACGACCGACTGACTGACTGACTGAATGACCGACTGACTGACTGACTGAATGACCGACCGACTGACTGACTGACTGACTGAACGACCGACTGACTGACTGACTGACTGACTGACTGAACGACCGACTGACTGAACGACCGACTGACTGAACGACCGACTGACTGAACGACCGACTGACTGACTGACTGACTGACTGACTGACTGACTGACTGACTGACTGACTGACTGAACGACCGACTGACTGAACGACCAACTGACTGACTGACTGACTGACTGACTGACTGACTGACTGACTGACTGACTGAACGACCGACTGACTGAACGACCGACTGACTGAACGACCGATTGACTGAACGACCGACTGACTGACTGACTGACTGACTGACTGACTGACTGACTGACTGACTGACTGACTGAACGACCGACTGACTGAACGACCAACTGACTGAACGACGACTGACTGAACGACCGACTGACTGACTGACTGACTGACTGACTGACTGACTGACTGAACGACCGACTGACTGAACGACCGACTGACTGAACGACCGATTGACTGAACGACCGACTGACTGACTGACTGACTGACTGACTGACTGAACGACCGACTGACTGAACGACCGACTGACTGACTGAACGACCAACTGACTGAACGACCGACTGACTGAACGACCGACTGACTGAACGACCGACTGACTGAACGACCGACTGACTGACTGAACGACCAACTGACTGAACGACCGACTGACTGACTGACTGACTGACTGAATGACCGACCGACTGACTGACTGACTGACTGACTGACTGAACGACCGACTGACTGAACGACCGACTGACTGAACGACGACTGACTGACTGAACGACCGACTGACTGAACGAACGACCGACTGACTGACTGACTGACTGACTGACTGACTGAACGACCGACTGACTGAACGACCGACTGACTGACTGAACGACCGACTGACTGACTGAACGACCGACTGACTGACTGACTGACTGACTGAACGACCGACTGACTGAACGAACGACCGACTGACTGACTGACTGACTGACTGACTGAACGACCAACTGACTGAACGACCGACTGACTGAACGACCGACTGACTGAACGACTGACTGAGTGAACGACAGAAAAAAAGCCGACTCTAGTACTGAGTAGCTGATCAAATTATCAATCTTTTAATATTTAAAAATTACATCATCAGACAGACCAAAATATAAATTATATAAATTTTTGTGTATTTAAAAAATGTAAATAATGATTCATATACGTTACAAAAAAATATCAAAATCGGGTAAAAGAAAATTGTTCAAATCAGTTTCTTTCAATAGAAAACTTGAGAAACTTGAACAGAAACTGAGTCTGGTGAAGTTTGGTTCTCATTCGGTGGGTAGAAAGTCCAGAAATTTTACTGAAGTAAGAATTCCATTTTCTTTATTAACTTTTTGAAAATTTTAGGAGTATTTTTACTCGTTACGACCCGAGTCTGGGTGATGATCATGTGATCTCCAGGTTTCATGAGTGAAACTTTAATCTTTGATCTGGAGCAACACTTTGCAGCGGTTCTGATCCGGTTGTAATCCTGCAGGGAGCTGAGACACTTTTATATTTATAACTTCTTATTTTTTATTTATTCTGTGCAGAAAAGCAGAAGAAGAACCGGATCCGACCATCTACTCTTCGGTAGCCACCAGAGGATGAGGTCACGACCCGTGACCTCCCATTTCAGTGTGGCTGTGCTGAATCCACCGACAACACCTTCTGGTTTCTGTTAGAGCTGTGCTGCAGATTAGACTCACATGGATTCTTTATTTATCCTCCATCCTGCTGCAGCCGAAGCTTAACTGTTTCTGTGTGAGAAACCGGGTCAGAACCGAAGGAATCACGATGCTCAAGCTGAGCAGAAATATTTAACAGGCAGTGTTAGAAACTGGATGGCATATAAATAATGTCAGAAAAGAAATTATGCTGCAGAAAAACAAAACAAAACAACCTTTAAATGTGACCCACTTCCTGTGGTTTAACTTTTATTTCTGAAATCTGTAAATATTTTCAAGCATAACTAGAGACTGTATAGAGTATGTAACTAGTACACAATGACATAATAATCTAAAAAGATATTTACAATGTGCAGCAAATCTATCCTAACCAGTATTTTTGTTGCTAAAAGCTCACAGCTACGGTGGCCTACAGGTTCAAACGAGTTACAAATACATAAATAATGAAAACTCACAAAAAAAACAATAAATAAAACCAGGAGCAGGATAAAAGCTCCAGACCACTAGGGGGAGTCTGGAGTCGGTAATATTCGCTAAACATGCTGCTTTTCTGGAATGTTGTAAAAGACATGAAATGTGACATGTTTTCTTTCTTCCACCTACTTTCTGCTGGTCCTCCCGTCTTTATTGAGGCTATGTTCTCACATGTTTTGATGTTCGACTCCCCCTAGTGGTTTGGAGGATTTTCTTTTTGTGCAGAGTGTTTTGTAGAATTTGATATTTGTTTTGTTTTTACTATTTGTTTAGTTTTTACTTTATTTCTATTTCCCAGAGCTGCAACGTGTTTTTTTCTTTGGTTGCATTTTTCTGTTGCATTTGGTTTGTTTGTGTTTTGAAGTTTGATCATTTTATCTTGTTGGTTTACAAGGCAGAACATCTGAATTTACACTCTGATTAAATTAAACTGTTTAATTTAAACACAGTTTAATATTATTCTGTGTTAAATTAACCAGATGTATCATAATCTGGTTACTGATTATGATAAAGTACGATAATTTATTTAGGAGAATCAAAGTACAGTGATCTGAATACAAACTTTTAATTTGTAAACTAAAATTAAAAAACATTTAACCTCACTATACAATTATGCTCTAGTTTGTGTTGATCTGCCTCTTAATATCCTAATAAGATTTTATACATGAGACAAAATGTAATGATCCTTATTTTAAGCAGTTTTAGACCCTCAGATGCAGTTAATTTAACCACCATTTGAGGCTGCATGCGCTTTTTAAGCAATTATAATTAGAAAGTTATTGCAAGAACAAAAATTCAGAGATACGTATTAAAAATGTATTCATGTTTTAGGCATCAGTGACATGTTTTCTGAAAACTGGTCTGTGGACAAAAATAACTTGAATGAACTTGTTCCTGGTTTCATTGTGGAGAAACTCTGCTGAAATGCAAAATACTCAACAAACTGGGCCGTTTCATAACTTCCTTCTCTTTTAGCATCACAGTGAAACTCTAAAATGTAAATTTAGTGTTTGTGAAACCGAGTCGTGTGTATCACAAGACGGCAATTGCACAACTTTTATCTCTTGAGACAAGAAGAGGAGGAAGTTCTCTGACCATTCTGGTTGCAGGAGAAGAAACCTGGTGCCAGTTCCTGCACTGACTGTGAATTATCAGGAAGAAACATTGTGATCATTCGTCTCTGCAGGTTTTATTTGATGTAGCCGGAGGAGCAGGGAGTCATTGAGTCATCACTGCGTTATAAAATCGGAAACAGATTAAAAAATAAGCAGAAGGAAAAGAAATGAATGATTTCAGCTATTTTTCTTATATTCTGCCTTAAATAATCAGTGTTTGTCTCTTTTTTTACCACTTCTGCAGAGTTCTTGGTTTAGAAGCTCATTTCTAACACAAGAACATTTGTGGACAAATGTTTGAATCGTCTCCAAATGGAATATTTTGCGTGTCTACTGAGTTTTTGAGATTAAACTTTTCAATTAAATTTGAGTTATTTTATATGTAGATTTGTGAATGCAACATATGCAGCTAACTGCTCTCAGTTCTTCCTTTTACTGTTTATTTGTTCATTAATTATATGATTTTAACAACATTATTCATGTCATAGGAGAAGTTGTTTTTATATATATTTGGTTAATTATCCATACATTCTGTGTTGTTCAGGTTGAAATTATTTCATTTAATTTTCTTTGCAATGATTTTATTATGTCTTCTTTACTTGAATTTAATGATTTCTGATGTTTCACATTTGAATTTATTTCAATAGAATCACATGCAATTTGCACAGATTATTTGAGTTTTACTAAGACTATTTAATTTTATTTTATTTTATTTTATTTTATTTTATTTTATTTTATTTTATTTTATTTTATTTTATTTTATTTTATTTTGGTAGCCACCGGTGGAGAACAGCGCTGCTTTTCCGGTGTTAAAGTTCACCTTCCGGTTGAAAAAGATGGCGGCCCCCGACGAGTTGTTTTGCTGGGAAGGAGACTGGGGTTTACCGTCTGTCAGCACCGACTGCCTGGTGGTTCTGGTGAGGGTTCGGTCGCTGGTGGTCGGTGTCGGTTCGCCGGCTGCCTGTCGGTTCTGGTACCGAAAGGCGGGTTCAATCCTGCAGCCGAACCGCTGAATGAGGCTCTGGCTCAATAGACTGGCTGATTTTAAACGTGATCTAATGGTTTATTTTAACGAATAAAACAGCCGCAGCAGTTTAACTGAGTAACTCTTTTCTGTCTTCCAGTGGGAAATTAAAACCAGTTAATATTAAAATAACTCGGTTAACTGCAAATCACGTGGTCTTTGGTACTTTTGAAAGTTTTAATACAAATGCAACCAACGTTAATATTCAAAAGCTTGGATTTTCTGAACCTGGAAGATTTTTTCCCCTTTTATTCGTTTTGATCACTGGAACCAAAAGAAAATGAAAATCAACCTAATTGTTGCTTTAATCATCGTTTGGTTGGTCGTAGCTTTGAAATCTGTAGAAAAAACTGCAAATATGTTTATTGTTTATGTGTCAGTTTGTCCTGACAAAGCTTCCTGTGTTCATCCTGAAGTATTCGGGATGATTTATATCCTCATTTTCTTCAGCATCTGGATGTTCATGAATATTGTGTAATTCTGCGGATGACCAGCAGGTGGCAGCAAACTGCTGGAAAGTGTTGGAAGTTTTAGTTTCTAAATATTTTCTCTTCCAGTTCAGCATAAATTAAAAGCATTAAGCAGTTGCAGAAAGCTCCCTTTCAGTTCAGACGTCCAGTTTCTGCATGTTTCTGTGTTTCTGCTGCAGGTTGAACTCAGACAGTGATTGGTTAATAAATGAACTTCCCTGGAGTCTGATTGGTTCGTCTGCTTTCAGTAAACTCTGCAGCCTTAAGAACCAGCAGAACTTTAAAATCGTTTTCTTATATCAGACTGACAGATCAGATGATGACGACCACCCAGAATGCTTTGCGTCTGCAGACCGCGCTGAGGGATTAAACCTGATCCAAACATGTTGGCTTCATATCAGTTAGCGGAGCAGCAGTGCATGCTGGGTAATGACGCTGATGGGAAGCCAGTTACTGAGTCACAGCTGACAGTGGGCTCACGCTTGGAGAAGGCGGGGCTTCAGCCCCCCTGTGCCGTGACCAGGCGCCCCCTGCTGGACGGACGCTGTGATGTCCCACCCTGTCTAAACACTTAAACGTCACGCAACGTCCAGGCGAGTTTTACTGCAGGAGCTTCTCATCAGCAAACTGACTTACCTCCTGCCTGGAACGCTGGAGCAGAACCAGAACCCAGAGGAATAGCAGAACCCAGAAGAGGAGCAGAACCCAGAGGAGGAGCAGCAGAACCCAGAGGAGGAGGAGCAGAACCCAGAGGAGGAGCAGAACCCAGAGGAGGAGCAGAACCCAGAGGAGGAGGAGCAGAACCCAGAGGAGGAGCAGAACCCAGAGGAGGAGCAGCAGAACCCAGAGGAGGAGGAGTAGAACCCAGAGGAGGAGCAGAACCCAGAGGAGGAGCAGCAGAACCCAGAGGAGGAGGAGTAGAACCCAGAGGAGGAGCAGCAGAACCCAGAGGAGGAGCAGAACCCAGAGGAGGAGGAGCAGAACTTCTGATCCATATGCAGCTCCACTTCGCTCACATCCAGCTGGTGGAATAAATATCTCCTCAGTTTTATGAGGAAATTCCTCCTCATTTTTCCTGGTTGTAAAATCGAGTGAGGCTCCCGACTGGCAGCCAGTTGTTTTTATGCAGCTTTTACTTCCAGAAGCTCTGAGTCACGTTTTACTGTAAGTGTCTGTCTGAAAGCTGCTTTTGGTCCCGTCGGATCGACCTGCAGAGGAACCGAAAGGCGGCGTTAAGCACAAACAGCCTGAATGAGAGAACTCATGCGAATAAAATTTAATCAGCAGCAGATTCTGGGAACGTTTTCCAGATGCTTGCATCATGTCTCAGGCAGTTTAACAGAAACCCACACATCCCGACATGAGGAGAGCTTTGTTCCTGGCGTCTGCAGAGATCATGTACTCTGGTTCCTGAAGCTGCTTCAGCTGCTGATTACTGCTGCAGCTTAAATTAAAAAGAGTTTCTGTCTGAAGGAGAGAACAGCCATTATCCATCTGTGGCTCTTCAAAAGATTTTCCTAGAAAAACATCAACTTTTTTTTAAATAATTTCAGTTTTCACAGATGTAACAAATATTGATTTTTATGACTTTAACTCTTAAAGAGTGACTAAACCCCCAAATATTCCTGTTTTTGACCATTTTGTTGAAATGGTAGTTGTTTGTTGGTCAAAAGAAAAGTTGCTTGATTTGGTAGCTGCTTTTGGAAAATAAAAAATGTAAACTGGAGCAGGAGGTTAAACTGCTGCAGTAACGATGTTTCTCTGATTCCTGTCGTTCTGCAGGCGTACGCTCAGTTCGCCGGCGCGCCGCTGAAGCTGAGAAAGATCTGCAACCCCTGGCGGAGTCCCGGCGGTGAGTCGGATCGCTGCAGCTCCGCTTCACTCCCCCGGAAATATCACCCAAAACTTCTCACACTTTACTGCTTCCC